TGTTATTTTGAGGATAAATATGTGGTACATGTATGGTTACTTCGTGCACGTGTTTAATTGTAAATAAGGTTTGCTTTGCCAAAAAGATTGCCCATCATGGAAATGTAGCCTATTATATATATTCTTTTCAATGTTCTTGACTTTTTGTATTGTAATACACGATAGTTGTCACCTGGTAGTTAGTCATTTTCATGATTTCAGGCCTTAGTGTGATTGCTCCTAATTGCGGTCCCTAACTCGGACATTCAACACGGACCTTGAAATGGGACACCTGAACATGCGAAAAAAGGACATTTGAATGCTGTGACGGAATTCTAATTTAGTGTGGAATGTTATATTCATATTTGGACCCTGTAGGAACAGTCTCTGTATTGACTATACTGCTTGTCTGTATAAAACTTGGGTAATATAATACCATTAAACCTGATGTGAGATATTGCTGACTGTAATAAATGTTATTAACCTAAAGTATTTTCTTTTTCGTTTGTAATAATGTATGCTGTATATTCTTAGTTCTGCTTTTGATATGTGACATTTTGGGGACTCGTCCGGGATCATAAAAATTAAAAACATTTTGATAAAGAAAGACTAACAGCCATTTTATTGCATTTGGAAGGGGAAATTCTTTAGTCACAAATATGTCTACAAAGCAATGAAAAATGGGTGAGAAGATTGGATTTACAGGGACTGACTTGTCCTTATTTGTGGAAAGGAACATCAGATTATATTAGCTGGAAAGGAGAGGTTTCAACATGAGCATGAAGGGAGTTAGCAATAGAATAAGAAAAAGAGAAATTGCTGCTTGAAAGAGACAGTTTGGAGAGAAAGCTAAGTGTAGAGCTCATGAGAGACAATGAGAGACAAATGAAAGAGTTAGAAACTAATCAGGACAGAGATAGCCACATTCCCTTACGCAGTCAAAACCAAAACTAGCCCCATTTGATGAAAAAAGGGACAATATGGATCTTATCTGAATAGATTTGAAAGATATGCTACCTGTAATTAGTAGCTGGAGGAAGATTGGGCTAATATCCTCTGTGTTTTGTTGACAGGAAAAGCTTTTAATTAGGAGTATATTCTAGATTGGAGTTTATTGCAGCATATGATTATCAGGCTTTGAAGCAGGCACTTTTGAAAAGATTTCGTCTTAATGGTGAGGGTTTTAGGGTGAAGTTTAGAAAGTTGAAGTTAATGAATCATGTTTACAGTTCGTTACCAGGTTACGGAGCTACTTGAGTAGGTGGGTTGAATTGAGTGATACTGTTAGAATATATGAAGGCCTATGCGATTTGTTTTCCGGAGGAACAGTTCCTTATGACATGTGGCAGACCACTGTGCGTGTTTCTAAAGGAGAAGAAGTTAGAACATGCAGTGGAAAAGGCTAATGTGGCTGATCAGTACACAGATGCACATCGAGGTCTGGGTCACTTGTGGTAAAGTTCTTCAGAAGGATTCAAGCTCGAGTGTGTATTCAGGGGCGTCTATCAGGCGTAGTTGCTACATATGTAACACATCTGATCACTTATTTCGAGATTGTCCTGTCAGGAAACAGTATAAAAAAGAAACCATCGCGAGGAAACAGAAAGTAGGAGCAATCAAGGAAGTTGGTTGGTTTGTTGTTTTACGCCGCACTCAGCAATATTCCAGCTATATGACGGCGGTCTGGAAGTAACTGAATCAAATTCAGTTGGGGCCTGCGTGGATATGCAGACCAAGTGTAGATCAGGGCATCTGATAGTTGCATATGATGTTGAGTTTATTCAAGCAAGGGATAAGTCACCTGTAGAGGAGGTAGTGTTTTGGGGTGAGACGGCTGAAGGGAGAGTCTACCAATTGTGAGTTGAGTTTGTGTAGCCGTTGTATTTTGAAATATGCCGGTTAAGACTGGTTTAGTTGGTAGATGTATTGTGTCAGTTTTACGAGACACTGGATGCAGTACGGTAGTTGCGAAGAAGTCGGTGGCTGATTCGTCATCATTTATGCAGGTCATTAAAAAGTGCATTATTTTGGATGTAACTGTGCGTGATGTTACAACTGCATTAATTGAAGTAGACACACCATATTACGTGGGTTCGGGTTGAGGCTTTGATCATGAAAACTGAATTGTATAACTTAGTGTGGGACAATATTCCTGGAGTCAGACAGCCAGATGATCCCAAGGAATCATGGGTTTTACTCGCTCTCAAAACGCTAAGAAGGGGAAGACCACTTCACCATTGAAAATTGTTGATATAGGTCTAGATGGCATTACTCCGGAAAGTATCTCTGAGCAGCAAGTTCGGGACCCTACTCTCACACATTCGGAAGAAATGTTACATTCATAGGAGTCGAAACACTTTTGAATTTGTTAAACAAGCTGGTCTCTATAGGCATTGTAGTTCTCCTAAAGTGGGAAAAAAGTTGTTTGTTCACTCAGTTGATTGCTCCAAAAATGCATCGAGATAAGGTGCTTAAACTAGTACATGACTCTGCCTTATCTGTCACTTAGGAATAAAGAAAAGCTTGGACAGAATTCGATCTAAATTCTTTTGGCCAGGGATGCAAGGAGATGTTCAGCGGTATGTATCAACGTGTGATGTGTGTCGGCGAACTGTCCAAAAGGGAAGGAGTTATAAAGTCCCACTTGGAGTTGTTCCACTGATTGAAATACCATTCCGCAGAGTGGCTGCAGATATATTAGGACTTATGTTTCCAGTGAAAAGTAAAGACAATATGTACATACTTACCATTATAGACTTTGCCACAAGATATCCGAAAGCTGTCCCATTGCCTAGTACTGAAACTTAATACAGTGAGGTATTCCTGATTTCCCAGCAAATGAACCTGTTATTTGTTATAATGCTGTTGACCTGGCAGAACGGATTGTGTTGTGTCTGCATAGATTCAATGATAGAAGTTATGTTAAGAAGGTCTGTGGCGAGTCAAATTCAGTTGACACAAGGTCGGACGTATTGCGCGAAGTATAAACATTTTGAGGCTGACGACATTTATAATGCTATGTTCATTAGCTTCTCTAACGTTGTCCAACTTAATTTCATCCACAGAAACCAGAGGTATTAAGTGCAAACCAACATCGGTCACTGACTCTTTTCGGGAATTTTTTTTTCTTCAAAATTTGGTAAATATTTAGGCCACGTGCCACTTACTCAGCTGTTGTTGAGTAACGCCACATATTGCTGCTATTTCTACTATAGTACACCTCGTGCTGTCAACCCAACATGTAACACATGTACACAGTACAATGTTTTCTCATAAAATGTATTGATCATTCAATTCGTCGTCGTATTTCTCGTGTATGCAATCGTATTGCTGTTGGTCTATAATAATGTCAGCGTGGGATGGACTGATCAACAGAGCTACTATCTCGAATATCCGTATATGACGATCCCAATAGGTTCTAGAAACTAGGGTCCCACTTTCAAAAATATTTCTGATAGACATGTGATGTAAAAAGAAATAGTTCTTAAGAGCTTGGTTCTTTCAATGTCCTTTTAATTTACTTTCGACAAGTAGTTCGCAAATGACAGATGATGGATGTAACTTGGGATGCATGTAACCGTGCCTTAATGATGGGACTGGTGCCCAGTGCAGATTGGTATTTGAACTGTATTCACTTTTATTCACCATCAATATCCGCATAAACTCACTCATTTGTTTCACATTTGTACACTTTTTGTGGTGCTTTCTATAACAACGCTGTTGCGATTCCAATTCAGAATACGTCAATCTGTACCTTATCCCTTTCGTAAGATCCAACTAAAGTGGGGATCAATTGGTCACACACTCTGACTTGGATGCTTGTGTGTCGTCATATCCTAAGTATTGAGCAGACTCGGTTAGTTAAAAGCCAGTGTGGTATCTTCCTGGCTGCGACGAGAACTGACAAACGATCAAACATGCATGCATTGTCATAATTTGTCATTGACGCGACTTGCAACGTTAACAGTGACAGAACTCAAAGATAATCTGATACAAGGATGTGATATGGTCCGACCACTACCCATTATTAGTTGAGGAACTGGTGACAAACAAGGACAGCCCTGGTTGGATTTCAGTATTACTTTCTGACCTATGGACGTTTTCGTCATATATTCATATATGAAGACGTAATATGCATTGACACCGCTTTTAAGCTTGATATACCCACATGAATGAAAGATATATTCTGAAACAACTTCTTTTTTCACAATATTCCTGTAGTACATCACCCTTGTTCGTTGTGTCTTACGGTACTAGAAAAAATGGCCCTATTCAATAAACGTCCCAAGTTCAATACATTGTGAGCAAGTGCCTTGAATTTATTGCAAGGATGATGAAATCATGTACATGTTCCTCTTTACATCAGACGTGCTACATCTGTGCATGATTGCCTACAACAACGAGGAAGTATTCACCGGACAGATTCAAACTAAATACTGTAAGTGTTTCGGTGTTGACAATATGATTGGTAATAACTTCCTCGTTATAATTAACATGTTATGTAAATGTCTATGGATTTACAGTCGTGTTGCATATTCAGATGGATTTCACCAAGTGTTACGTAAAAGAACAACTTCCATCAATAACTGTTTTTCCAGCACTTCGACTACCCATAATAGACACAAACATGAGGTGCATCATTTTATTGACAGAGCATAGCAAAAAAACACTTTTACACGTAACAGGACAATATAGTAATCGGAAAGTCTTAAGCAACGTAAACATATTCACAAGATCAACAAAAGGTAAACAATATACTGCTAGCAAAACGGAAATATAATTGATCCAGGCTTACATGTATATTGATGAGGAAAATTCAACAAATATGATTGAAATAAAGATCCAAACAATTAAATCCAGTATAACAGATTGATATTGTAACAATTGGGTGGATAATTAAAGATGTTATGCATGCGTTTAAATGGTGCCATATTACTCTTTGGCAAAAAAGAACATTGTGAGACAAAAGTAATGTTAGATAATTGTTATCATCAGATATAATGGCGCATATATTCCATCTTTAAGAAAGGTGGCACTTGATAGCTTAGAAGATACAAAACAACAGCGATTGGTTAAAACCTATTATGATTATTGAATGTTTTTATGTAAGGCAGTGATGCTTGTCAAAAGAAGAATACAAATGCATTGTTTATATTTCACGTACAATCAAACACATTCGCCGAATGTTAATCAACTCGTTGTTTAACATGTAGCCCATGATTAATTGAGTTGTAATGTATCATTGTAATCTGTTGATTGGTTATATAGCTTGTCATATATACATGCTTGTGTATTTGTGATTATTTCAGAGGTAAGGCGTTGTAACAGGTTATTTAGTCCCTGAGACAGCCAATGAGATTTCTCCAGAACATAAGTTTCTCCCCTTCCAATGGATATTCCAAATAAGAATCCGATTGTATATGATACAATATTTCCACTGGAATTTTGTTGGTCGGAATGTGCTCCATCATCACAATCAGCAGCACATCCCTACCTGTAGACACACTCTCCATGTGAGCCATCTGAAGCTCATGGACGCACCAGTGGCTCTTTAAGAACTCTCTTGACAAGATAACCAGCGTTCGTTTGCTGGTTTTGACAGCTTCGATGATGTTATGAGCTATAGGACGGCCAGGGGTGAAGTCCCTCTGATGGAAGTTCAGCCTCATGTCTGACTCATCCTCAAGCTTCACCAGGAGCTCATTGACAACAAAATCACGGTCTTCTTCCGCGAAGGAAACAAAAGCATCGAATACAAACGTGTGATTGGATGGATGTGTTGTGTGGTATCCGTGTCGTGCTGCATAGTACAAATATTTCAACTTCCAACGGAATCGATACAGTAGTGAACACAGTAGAGTAACAAGGACGACTAACGACATTCCGACAAAAAAAATGAAATGATAAGGAAAAGATTGACAGGAGACGTTTAAATCTGCCACAATCTTCTCCAGGTCATCAAGAATCACGCTATGCACCTCATCATAATAACAGTCATACTCTGAAAGATTTCCAAACGAAATTCTGCCTTTAGCTTTAGCTGTTACCATCCATGAGAGAAATGGAAGGTTGATGCATGTGCATTGGATAGGGTTTTGTGATAGGTCTACTGTCATTTTATGATGATCCGAAAGTTTGTCAAGGCTAGTTGTAAAGTCCTCCGTTAACCCAGGTAATTCGTTCCCGGAACATTGTAAAAGTCTTAAGTTTTTCATGTGACTTATATCAAATCGTAAGGCATATATCCTATTCCTAGAAATGATTAGCTCTCGCAGCGATGACATGTTCGAAAAAAGAATGGATGAGTAGTTATTTATGTAGTTTGCTGATAGGTCCAAGGTCTGAAGCTGGCTCAGTGATTTGAACATATCCCCTCCAGAGATATTACCTAAAACGGTGCCTAGCAGATTGATGGAAATGTTCAAACGTTTAAGGTTCTGAAAAGAACTGAAAAAGTTCGAAGTGGCATAATGTGCAATATTATATGAAAGGTCTAAGTATTCAAGTTTTTCAAGTCCATCAATATGTCCAATCCATTTTGTAAAAAGGTTCCGTGACATATCAATATATGTAATGTTGTTCTCAGTTACTGCAAACCTTCTGATATGAAAGTACAATTGTGAGATTGAAAAAGACACATTCCGTAGGTTTGGAGGTAAATGAATTGTAACTAGAGAGTGTTTGTTGTAAAGATAGGATGAATGTTCATCGTCCAAGGAGGTGGAACTTAGGCGTTCACTTAGAACATTACAGTCAGTGCAAGTTGAAGTTTGGTTGAAATCGGCCAGAGACTGAAACGGCAGTTTCTTATTGGCATAACCTCCTAAATCCACCACTTCTAATCCCACTAAAGATGAAATATCCCTAACGTAAGCATCATATTCAAATCTGTTCCCCTTTAAATACACCTTTTTCAGTGATTTTGGAAGGAATCTAAGTGCCCCTGCCTGAAATACGGTTACTCTGTTCATATTGGCATGTAATTCAGTCAGGCTGGTGCGGTTAAGGTTTTTACAAAATTCCTTTGTAATGATAACGCAAATCGCATATGGATGTACTATTTCATCTATGAATAATCCTTCAAGTGATGATGCTATTCCATGTGTAGCATGTGTAACGCCTTTGAATGTAAGGGCATTATTATGAGACAAGTCCAACGTTTTAAGATGATGTTGATGACGAAAGGATCCCTGTGCAATAAAGTGAAGATTACACTGAATAATCTTTACATGTTCAAGATAGGGTAAGTATTTAAACGTGTGTAGAGTTATATTATACATGTCACATTTTTTGTTGCTACTTTCGATTGTCAGGTTAATTAGATTATTTAGTTTCGAAAACCCTGAGGCAAATATTTTATCTTTTAGACCATCAACATACAAAGTCGTAAGAGATGACAGTCTTTGAATTGCATCACTTGGGTATTCCACTGTAGCGTCATCGGTGTCAATGTTGTTGTTTAGGTAGAGGACAGTCAGGTTTTGCAAGTTTTGAAACATGGAGGAGGAAAGATTGTTGTATGCTAAGTTGTTTCCTTGTAATGACAGATAGCGTAGGTTTGACATGTTAGCAAAAGCTGCCGTTTCGATGAGGCTTACATTGTTGTTTGACAAGTCTAAACGTGTCAGTAGAGGTATTGTCACGAAGGAATCATTGGAGAGTTTGGTCACATTGTTTCCACTGAATAACAACTCTTTGGTATAATTCGGGAGGGAAGATGGTACTCGATCCAGACTTTTGTGGCTGCAGTTTGCGATAAAACTTCCGTTGCTATCAAAGCACTTGCACGGTGGACATAGATGTTGATTGAAAACCACATTAACCACAGCAATACTGGCAAGAAGCATGAGTGTCCACAGTTCATTATGGAACTGCACCCTCATCCTCGGCGAGAGATGTTTTCTACGTCAAAAGGAGAAAAAAGATATAAACAACATGAAAAATAACACCAACTGCTCAAAATCATTCTGAGCGTCTTCATTCTAAAAACAGTGCCATGGGTCCCGTTCAACAAAGCTACCTCAACCACAACGCCCATACAATGATTTACAAAACCTCAGCTCAGAGGTCACTATGTGGAACGGGTCCAAAGTCGTTGTCATTATGGCATAAGTGGGTAAAAGAGATAGGTTAAACATCGCTTTGAACAGTATTTCAGTAATGTCAACGTCGTTCATCATAGCATTAACGTTTAAAATTTCCGATGTCTCTGAGCAAGAAACCTATTAAGCTAACTGATATTGTTAATATATTTGTAGGACATTTAGAGTTGATACCATTCAAATGCTGAAAGGTTTGTGTGAAATAAATGAACTTTCAGCTATACCCATCTTACAGATGTACTGTAATAGTTCAAATACCAATCTAGCATGCCTACCTCGCGCTGGAAAGGTATATATCCAAGAACACCATCAATCGATTGCTTTAAATGACTTAATCTCTAGTTCGAAAACTTGACACTGTAATGCTGTGAGTTACAGGCACAGTTCCGAAATACACACACAACTGTAGCTGCGATACGTTCGGCACAAAACTTTAACAAATCCTGATTGCTCAAAACGTTTGCAGTTGTCGGCACCAATGGCATCATAATCAAAGTTTAACATTAAAGATACGCAAGCAATAAAACTACAAAGGGGTTGTATCTCAATATGGGACCCTATCACACACAACAAGTAGACATTTTGCGACACTGGTATGAGAGCATACATTATTTTAAACTAACTGCAAGCATACTAATCACGTTGTTTATTACTCCTCAAGCGAACTCAAATCCATGTATCATTAAACTTACCCTGTTGTTTTCGTGCCTGTGCTCTATATCCTTAGCTTTAGTTTTGAAATGTCGAAGAAATTAAGGAAGTTAAAAGCATCTGGTGTGGGGTTATGAATTATTATTAACTTCCTCATCACAATCTTCATTGTGAGTGAGGAAAACTATGATAGGTTTGAATATTAATAACGCGCTCTTTGCATAAAGTGAGGTGAGGTGAAATGAAGTTTATCGATGCTTTCAAGATTATTGCTTTTATTGTTTGTACTAGTCCGGACTACTGCTGAATTTATACTACTAGCTCACTGAGATACCATGCCGCATTTTAAAATGAATACCCAACTCAGACACAGTATTCTGACTCCGTGCCGAGCAGTTCTTGTTTTGGCCCCTTAATTTAAAGGGGCACTGATCTAACGCAATTCCCCGGACTGGTTGTTGCCTTTGTTATTGTTTTCCCCCCCGTGAATACCCAGATGATACGCAACGCAACTGAGCGTGACCAGAGACTGGGCTACCGTCTGCAAGGACAGCTAAATAAACTTGGAGGCTGGAGGCAATATTTGTTTTACGCATTTTTGCATAAACACTGATTGGTTAACTGTGATCTATACAGATTTCGACAAAGGGCGCATGTTAATTAATTTCTTCAGCCTAAACAAGCAGACAAAAAGAACAGCGGAGCTCATCGGATGTCGTCATTTGGAAATACCCCAGATGGTTATAGTTTTATACTAAAAAAAGTATCCATGCAGTGAAAGCATTTTCGGATTTCGGCTTGCGTCGATAATACGATTACTACTCCCTTGTTGACATGCACGTTTTCTCGTATAACCCTTCACTTGTGTATTTGTCGTCATTCACTTGATGCTCAGTTAATGAATTTATTACAGGTACAATTAGTGGTAGCACCACTTAGATTACCTGACAAAGGTTACCATTTGGCATTTATTGTGTCTGGGGTAATTATTCAATCTAAATCCAGGTTTGAAGTGAGGTGAAATGTGTGTTATGTAATATGCACGTGGCAGCCCAGCAAGAGGTGAATACTTTTTTTGTTAATCAACGGATCGTTGCTAGTCATCAAAGGATTAACAGAAAATACGTTGATTGATTAATCACTGTTATCTTTGCACAGTGGATATGTCAAAAGTGAGTGTTTACATGTCTAGGTTTACTATAACAAAGGGAATACACTCATATCATGGCGTGAGCTGCCGATGTAAAAACAACATACTTTGTTCAAAGGGTTAACTGATAATACGTTGATTGATTGCTCATTGTTATCTATCACTCAATGGATTTTTTAGGAACCGTGGACGTTATGAAAATAGTTGTCACGTGGGCTTTCTCAGCCGACCCTTGAGACTTGACACCTATGTGAAACACCTGAAACAATCTAAGTGATCAGTTGAGAAACGAACACGGGTTATAATATCCCGAAACGATATATATCTTTTAAAATATATGATTGTTACAGAGACACGTGACATCGAATAGGTTTCTTTGTACAGCTGCTGACAAGTGGGATATTGTTCCTTTGTGTTGATATTCACGGATACATTCCTCGAACAAGGACGCTGCCTAAAATTTATACACATAAATTTGGTAGGTTGTAATTATGATATTTGCATTTTGTTTTCCTTCATTTGAACCGATTCGTTCTTCTTTCTCTACGTCTTGGTTGGGAAATTCTTCAATGCGCGATAGACGTTGTTTTCACAGGTCTTTTCCTTTGTAAGCGTGTATATATTACCGTCAATTTGTAAAATGTGATTCTCTCAGGCAATTGATAAAATGTGTAAATATTTCAGTCATTTTGACTAAAACATCTGTCCAGATTGATTAAGACGATCAAAAGGGCCTACAAACATCACAACAGATTATTATGTAGGATTAGAAGCCAAACAACATAGAAATGTACTTTTCTCAACATAACATTTTCAGTCTCTTGGTGATGTCATTGAATATTTAGACGTTTAATAAATTTGTTACACATTTGACAGTAAAAAAAATACACACTATAAAAAAGCAATGCTCAGGTGAAATATGTACTTTGTGTTGCAAGTCAAAATAGTGTAAACGAAAATCGCAAAATTACCAAGCAAGTGACTTATCAAAACTTCGTCACCATTACAGATGCTACCCACAAAGATACCTACATTTCCTTATTATCTTGAAAACTGTATTTCATTTTGTTCATCAATGTGACCATACGCCCTTATTACTACCCATAAAAGCGACTAATGCGCTTACGAATGGCGCAGCAGAGGTCGCGAACTAGTCTAGATTTCTGCTATACATCCGGGTACTCACTGGGAAAAAACAATAACAAAGGCAACAACCAGTCCCGGGGAATTGCGTTAGATCAGTGCCCCTTTAATGCCGAGCACCAGACAGGGTAACAACAGGTGTCATATTTAAACGTTTTTTGGTATGACGCGACCAGGGATCTAACCCTGGCCCGTACCTTCCGCTCTCCGGTCGTAAGCTCTACCACAAACCTACGGAGGCGTTTTTTTTACAATAAATTTGTGCCACTAGCACTAATAAATACTTAAATCATATTATATTTGGTATTATCTTATTCAAATGTATCCTTTGTACGTTACACTGTCCTGATGAAATGTGTGAATACAACGCCCATGCCAGGTTGAACTTTGTTGCAAGAGTAAAGGACCCGGATGCAGAGGTAACATCACCATTTTCTCTTTAGTCAAGGCACAATATAGACTACATGCGCATCTAGAAACACCGCTGAGGCTTAGGTCACCTGAATACATATATAATATATTATATTTTTGGCATTGTTGTTGGTGAAGTGATATATTTTCCGTGAACCCTGAGGCAAAAATATTTTTTCTACATCTTATGCAAAATCCCATTTTATCCTTTCAAAAGGAACTCAGCCCGTGCATCATCACTTTTGTGGTTGACGTCAGTTACTTACTGTGAACATGAAATTATTATCGAAATAATACATATAGTGTGAGATGACAGACATTGTCCAATAAAAAGAGACAGACTGCCTTTAATAAGTATGTGCATGCCTTTCACTAATGTCCATATGCATCAATGTGACTTCCACTGAGCTCAACAATGATTTAGAAAAACGGTCTAGGAGAGATAATAGTGTTGTATGTAGAATCCCAGAAAAGACTGGTGACGAGAAAGAAACCTGGGCAGATTGTGAAGAACAGATTAGAATATTATGAAAGACAAACTGTAAATGGAAAATACACAGGATGAGAGTCAAGTTGTGATAGACAGAGTCCCACAGAGTGCATAGGAGGAAGTCTGGGGGTAGGTCTCGACCAACAGAGGTTAAGCTTACCAATAATAAGACCAAGTCAGACATTCGCTTCAGTGCCAGGAGCAAGCTGACGCATTCAAGATGAGTGAGGACTCCAGCTTCACAGTGAGACAAAAGAGGAGGAAACTTATCCCACATATGCTTGATGCCAGGAAAGACAGCAGGAAGCCTGTCTCCGCTTTGACAAGTTGATTGACAATAAACTCTTTGACATAAATATTGAAACAGAGGAACCTATATGGTGTGGCCAAGGTTTGACTGATACAAAGTCTACCCATTCCTGCATAAACAATCTCAATATTCTCTCTTCGAATTGTTAGTCATTAGAACAGCATTAACATAACAGTTACATTCACCATGTTTTCTCACAACACATGATTGTCAGTTTGTTAGTGACATGGTGCTATTCACATACAGACCTCTGTGACTTTCTGTCCTCCTATAAGGTGTTTCCGTACCGTTGAAGTAAAGGTACACATAGGGGAACAGGTGTGTTTATTCACCAGTCTATATACCATTGTTTCAGGAGAATTGTAGATACACGTGTTCAGGATGCTGTTTACATTCGTTTGGATGGAAACTACTTCAATATGGAAACAGATGTAATTGTTGGATTTCTCCATAAATCAACCTTCTATGAGGGAACGGATAAAGACAGTCTCGATATTCTTGAAGAAACACTTTATGAAATGAATAATACATATGATGCAGAATTACTGTTCTTCAGATATTTTAGTTGTAGAACAGGTGTTGAAGAAGACTACATTATTGATGACAATGCAGAATATCCTCCTGCT